TTACACTTTACTTTCTAGCTTAATGATTATCTTACATGTCTACGAATGCTGTAGTCAGCCAAATTGGTAAATGGGATGCTTAGCTTCGAATTGCACTTCTTTTATATGCCAAATTAGGTTACTGAGAAATGCTATTTGACGCTACATATTTTTTGACCTAAATTTATTCATTTTATATTTTACATTGCTTTTTTATGTTTGTTCTGCGTATTTATTAAAAAAAGTACACGAAATCTAAAAGTTAACAGACAAATTCTTTACAGGTTCTGTTTATACGCTTGTGCGCGGTCTAGTCATATGGATTTCATATTAAATAAAAATGCCACAAATCATATATTTTCCACATACTTATATTCATTTTGTTCGATCACGTCTTTGTTTGTCTGTTTTTTTTAACTGGTTCCCGTTGGTTCCTTACTTCGTTTATTTCGTACAAAAATTACACAAACTTCTTGCGACAAGGAACTTATACATCTTCATCGTTCAAAGAGAAAAAATCGAGTGAACGAACTAACTGAACTAACTAACTTTATTTTTCATTTTTCAACCCAGCGAAACCCGCCGAATAAGCGAGGAAAGGAAGGAAAAAGAACATCACACACGTGAAAAATTGAATAAAAATCAATGAAAGTTGTATGAAAATACGACCAATATCGTATTATGTTACTGTTCAGGTCTTTTAGAGGAATGGTACCTCCTGATTTGTGCCGTAGTGTGCAAACTTCAGGCAATATGGAGTACATCCCTTACAGACAGATACTTATATCTAGCATTTAGAAACACTTAAACAGCAGATATTGGTCTGAACACTTAACACGAAAGACTTTTTAAAAGACCTTTTGAAATTATACAAAGATGTCATTCACCAAAGGTAACAATTATAACTATAATAATACTAAAGCAACCCTAACTTGTAATCTAAAGATCGGAATGTCACAAAATTTTGACAAATTCCGATTGAAAGTCGGACCTATCTAAAAATGATATGGATCCGTCAACATTCATTCTACGGCTATATGTCAAGCTACAAACTTTTCGGGTCAAGTGTCGTATGAACATTAAACCAGCACAATTATTTCCTGGGACTGCCTAAAAAAGTTATATAAAAATAATACCCGTCGATGAACTGACAAACTCGTATTTGACAAAATCTTTTACGCTTCTTTAAATTTGCTTGAGATGTTGATTATGAAAGGCTTTCAGACGAATATAATTTTCCGCCATTAAAATACACAGACAAACATCGGAAACTCTTTCTCTTTCCACCAATCTCTCTCTCACCGTTGCTAACTGTTTTCTTCTTATTTTTTCTACCTAATAATAGCGAAAGAAATGGTTTAAGCGAAGACAAAGACCAATAGCGGTGATCCACTACTTTAAGCAGATTTTTTCTCACTCTTCCATAAGGAAATAATGTTATTAGCGCGCAGATAAATCCCGCTCACCTTACAGATGCGGACGTTGCAATCTTCCTATGTTGTTCTAGGTTGTCGACTATCTATAGTAAAATAGCTTGTTTCTTAATTGGCATTACTAGAAGTTGTTGATTCATCAATTAAGGTTGAAGTATTACTCGTCATACTGCCATTTGAATAATGGCAGTCATCACTTCTCGACTCGATTAAAGTTAAATAAGGTTCTTTTCTTTAGTATTCGTGGAACTGATCGATTCAAATCACGTTTCTCTCAGTTTTAATTATTATTATAATAAATAATACTAATAAACGGATGTAAATATGCAAATTGGAGCTTAAAAATTAATTATGAATTATAATCATTAGCCTTTTTCCTATTTAGTTTTCAACAGTATAACGCAGTAAATGTGTGATTTACATTGGTTTGTGTTGTGGTTACCCCAACATTTTAGGTGGAGTCTTCTTCAAACTTTTATAAACACAATTGAAATGTTATAAGCTGAATAAATTCTATATAATATCATCGTTTGTTACATTTGTTACTGTTTGAATCATCAAGAATTACGTAGAGACATTGAAATTTAACGGTACTTGTACAATTTACTTCAGTTAGGCTACTGTGTGCTCTGAAATTGTGATTTACCGTGCATAAACTAACTTGTTGAGAAAATAATGATTCTCCCTATATAACATCTTTAATGTAGGTTACCATTACCGAATAGAAATCATTTTAAGCTACTTTATTTGATGATAATTGGCTTCGGCATTAGTAACACTACAGACTGCATTCATTGTGCCATGTACAAGTATTACTCAGCCCATTCTTTATTTACAAAAAAAAATGGTAAATTGTCACCGCAACAAATGTCTTACCTTCTCCCACAACTAGAGTACGCAACTAACACACTAATTGTATATGGCGTGTACTACGTTTCATTTTCGAGAAACACTCTCTTGAAATTGTCAAAAACAAACTTTCCGACGCTTTGTGTTAGTATTCGTTAGTTAGAGCTGCATTTATAAGAGCAAACAGTTGTAAATTGAAAATAAAATAAAATGCGAAGAAAATTGTTGGCTTGCAAATATCTGTACCAAAACAAGAAATTTCACTTGTTAAAAGGTAATTAAATCTGCTCTTTCTTTTGCTTTTTATTCGAATTGTGTAATTAATACTCTTACTTCCTACCAGCTTGTAATCAATTGATCTTTTCGTGCGTCATCATAGACTGTCGCTATCATTGATAAATTTATCATATATACGTTATCATTGATGATAAAGCGCGACGAAACAGAAAATAATAAAATCCCATCACTCTACTAAACATGCTTGTTTTATAGCCAACAGGCCTAATCTCTTTTACTAAACATGGGAAAAAAAAAGGTGAGTAGCATGTTATTATTATATAACCAAGTAATGTTAAGAAATACGTACACTATTCTTTCCTTATATTATGTCGTCGCTGTAGGGTAACATAGAGACTGACAGAAAAGGAATTTTATAAGACATAGAACAACACTTCGGAACGCTTCAAATCTTGTTACTTTACCCGAAAACAAATAAATAGATGATTTTACACATGTATCAGAAGCGTAAATTAAAATATGCATATTATTTCTGCAAAAGTTTCGGGTGTCAAGAAAAATTCAGCTGTGTGATTGCGTAGAGAAAACAAACGTGCCTTCGATGATTCGTTTCGCATTCAGTTTGGAGTTGTTAGGACCTGGAGGTTATCGCTGGATAGCAGTTTTAACTTATTAGATTCTTGTATCAGAAATGATACAAAAAATGAAAGAACAACTTTGCGCGGAATGTTGGTGAGCTAATCAAAATACATACTCATATAAATATTTTATTCGTAAATTTTGCAACCAAATGAAAATCATAGAATTAAACTTTTGAGGTTCCTTTGACGACGATGTCGATGTTGTGCTAGAAAGCTCCTAACTGAGGCAAATAAGTCAGACGATCGCAATCCTGTTGCAATTTTAATGAAATTATATTGGAGTAAAATATGTAAGGAATAAATCCGCTTTAAGATGTTTGGAGAATATTAAACAGTTGGCTTTTATTTACGTAAGGTTAAGACTGATTTTCACTTCATTTAAAATACATTGATATGTAATTATATAAATATATATTGTAAAATATAAATAACAAGACATATATATTAAAATTCGAACTTTCACAATTTAAAGTTTTCCTAAGAACTACTGTGTAGTTCCTGGAGACTTTGGTTACACCGCGAAAACATCTAATTATAATCAAAATTGTCCGTACATTATTACGCACAACCGATCGCAATTTCAGGTAATTCCATATGTGCATGCGGCTCATTAGTTGCAATTTTTATCTATTTTTTGTTTTGTGCTTAGCATTTCTCTTCATTTTTTTTTTTATGGTATAAAAGAGGCAAATGGACCAGGCCTGTAAGTGAAAGACTTATATGTCCAGTTTGGGTTTTTATCACACAATGTTCTTAAGGATAGAATGCAGCGGCAAACAGGATGACCTAAAATGATTTGATCATGTTGAAATGATTATTACTTCTCTCGATTGGATGATGTACAAGTTGTATTAGTCAAAACAGTTACATCTTTTCTGAGTTTTAGACCAGAAGATTGATCTCAAGCTATGGCTTTATAGGAATTCTAGATTTATGGAGTTATAAAAACTGTTGAAAATGTGATTAGAGCGGACAAAAATTAGCATATATTTACGCTACGTAAAAGGAGAAATCAGCAGATTTAATGAAGGCAGTTAACTGCTTAGATGAGGTACATTTGCGATCACGAAAGGTTTCATACAGATTGTTAGAGATACTGAAAATTCCCAAAGAAAGTTTAATAATATCAAGTTTATTGCTATTAAAAATAAGCTTCTCAGCATACTCTTTTGTATGACATAAATCACATGGCACCCGTTCTACTTATTCTACGTCTATTTATCTTTCAAAAATTTTACATAATTTTTTTTTTCGTGATTGTGTTGTTCACAGTATCACTGTAAATGAACGAACTCAAGTTTGGCCCCTAATTTTCCCATTATTTTTTTTAAGTAAGGTTCGAAAAGCGAAAACCATGCATAACTAGTTCTCAAGGTACGCCTTCTCAACGAAAGTTATTTAACTAAATACATAATCAGTGACCAGGTTTTAAATTCGCTAATATTATCGCGAAAACCATGCACAACTAGTTCTCAAGGTACGTCTTAAGAACGAAAGTTAGTTAACTAAATACATAATCAGTGACCAAGTTTTAAAAATAAAGTTACGTCTTCTGCACGAAAGTTAGTTAACTAAATACATAATCAGTGACCAGGTTTTAAATTCGCTAATATTATCGCAAATACCATGCACAACTAGTTCTCAAGCTGCGTTTTCTGAACGAAAGTTAGTTAACTAAATACATAATCAGTGACCAGGATTTCAATTCGCTAATATTACAGAGTTGTGTTGCCACATAAATTTTTCCTAACAACTACTCGTTCTTAAAACCTACGATTATGTAAATTTCCAATGTTTAACTGAATATTTTCGCACATTGGCATTAGTGAATTGTCAAAATTTTATTCTTAGCTTTTACAAAGAGAAAACCTACTCGAATCCTGAACACAAGTTGATTTCTGACAATTGGGAAATTTAAAGTTATTGTTACAATACACCGTAAACGAGTGATTGACTTTAAATTAGTTGAATTATAAAACGTGACTACTTTACGTAAATAATTATAAATAAAATATAAAGCTCGGTGGATCCAGTTGGAAATTTTATTATAAAGATATTAGTTAATCATAAATTATTGTGGTAATTGCAGGCTTTATTTGTTTGAATAAGAAACGGAACCGATTTTATCTACTATAACTATACCTTAATGGAGCCTCCATGTTCATTTCATCCTTGTGATGAAGCGGTAATTGCAACAAACGACGATGCTAGCGACTGTAAACGCTGCGCTGTACGTTTGGGTTATTGGAAGGACGAATATATTGGTTATTTTGTACGCAACCAAGACCGCAAAGCACCAGAAATAAATCGAGGATATTTTGCTAGAGTCAAGGGCGTTGAGATGTGTGTAGAGAAGTTCCTGAAGGTCAGTATAAGATCAGGGCTGTGTTGTTTGTTAAACGACGTCAGTGTCACTTTAGAGTGCAACACTGACGTGTCTAAGTTGACATTCGCGTACTGCCAAATTTCCTCATTCAGTTATTCAACGCTGAAGAAAGTACCAACATAAGTCTTAGCCCTGTCTGAATCTACATTAATGTAATCTCTTTTACACCGAAAACATCTGAAAGGCTCCAAGGGTATACAAAGCCTCGATTAACCAACAATTTACTGCCGCAAAACTTACACCCGTTGAATTTTGGGATTATAAAACTGTGAATGGTGTTTCAAATTCGACTTTGGAGTGAACTATACTGTTTCAAAGCAAGTAATTTTGCGTTGGAACTTTCCACAAAAAAGAAAAATTAAAAAAGACGAAGCCTTCGGATTATTATACTTAGTAAGATTCGCTTCAACAGCATTCGATAGGTTTTCTTGAAAAATATTCATAGACACTCTTTAAATAATTTTTGAAAATCGTTAAGTGACAAGAGGATAGATTCATTAAACTATAATTAAATATGAAGAAAGCAATTGTAATTTTTTACGAAACGTTTAAGTTATGTGCAGGCGGAACCCTTTGTTATCGTTTTTTACGAAGCATCGCGATTTTCACTTTGTATTTATTACACGAAATCCTGCAAACCTTCAGAAGTAAGGAAAAAATTTGTGCACGAAATGCTGTCCTTTTCATAAACACTTTTCCTTCAATTCGATAAGTTGTCCTTTAATTACAAATATTGTTCGTTTATTAATTCTGTCGCTTTTTCGTGATTAATAACGCGGGCTTAGTCCTTTCGTTGAAATTTAAGAAAACTCGCAAATATACTCATGTTTTCTAATTTAGCTTAATTATAATTAATTGTTTAGAAAACCAATGGAGATTGTCAAATAATTAACCTTGGCTGTGGTTTTGATACACTATATTTTCGTTTGCGTGATACTTCCCATCAAGTGAAGAATTTTATTGAACTAGATTTTCCCACAGTAACGGCACGTAAGTGTTATACGATTAAACGTAACAAAGCTTTGCTGGCCAAGATTCACGATGAAGATGGCGAAGTAAGATTAAGTCCAACGGATATGCATGGACCTAGCTATCATTTGATGGGTGTAGATTTGCGTAATCTTGATGAACTTGACAATAAGCTGCAACAGGCTGAAGTGAATTATTCACTGCCCACAATCTTTCTGGCCGAATGTGTGCTAGTCTACATTGAAATGCAGAATTGCAAAAATTTGCTCAAATGGATTTCCAATAAATTTACCAATGCAGTTTTTGTCAATTATGAGCAGGTAATGACGCCAATGTAATATAGAAAAACCAATAAAAAGCCATATACATATTTACATAGGTCAATATGAATGATCGATTTGGTGAAGTTATGTTGAATAACTTGCGTAGTCGAGGGTGCAGCCTAGCTAGTGTAGAGGCGTGTGTTTCGTTAGACACGCAAGTAAACCGATTTTTAGAATGTGGTTGGACCGGTAGTCGCGCATGGGATATGGTACAGGTTTATCAAAGTCTACCTGAAGCGGAGAGACAACGCATTGAACGTATTGAAATGCTCGACGAAGGTGAACTCTTATTGCAACTTTTTCAACACTATTGTCTCGTAGTAGCCTGGATTGGTGAACTGTTTCAGGATATTGAAATTACGTGCGTTAACGTGTAAACTTTCTTCCTTCATCTGCTCCTCAACTTAGTCAACAAATTGTAATTGTACTTTTATTTGTTGACAGGGTTGAAAAACGTATGTCTTGGTTAAACATCGAATAAAGACTGGAATAACGGGCTCGACAGGCTGTTGGTAATAATGGACGGCTGCAGTGCAAACATAGCCAATATTGGCTATAAGACTGTTATAAGATGAACTTTAGTTCTATTTTCCAAATAATTTTATACAAATTTTCGGATTATTGCTGTGAAATTTTGGATTTAACAAACAAATTGCAAATACTTCTGTTTTGCTTCTACTTAAATCGTAAATACACACAAGAGCATAGTTTGTATTTCTTTTTAGCTTATTTTGTTATTTTATATATAACCCGAACCACTTTGAAAAAAGTACATAGTCTCCATATATATATATATATAGGTAACATAAAATTTCACGATCATGATGACGTAATTTTTTGTGCACTTACCAAAAAAAAAAAATGAAAACTCAGATAAAATTCAGACAAATGTATATTCTTGTTAATGAAATTTTTCATAAATGGGCAAAAAGAGCAAGAAACAAACATATTTCTTAAATTGATGTATTTTTTTCTGACACAATATACTCTTCAACTTTATCACAATGTAATAAGAAAATAAGTCAGCACATGTTTATGTAAAGACGTTAAAATTGCGCAACAGAAGTAAAACCTATAGATTCGAGTTAAAATTATTTTTTAGCTCTTCCATTAAATGTGAAATAAACGTAAAATTATTTATATTAAAAGTATTTTCTTCAATAAAATCTTGATTTATTTAAGAAAAAGTTTAGATTCATTACCTCTTTCATGGGATGACTATATAGCTATTGTTGATTTTTAAAATCTGAAATATTGAATATCTAATATTGGAATGTCAAGTGCTATATATATATACATATATATATATTTTTCTTTCCCACGATGTAAGTTCGGTAGTTAATTTCAGAGGGTCTATAGCATTACTTGTTATGCGATTCTCTTAATGAAGGACAAATTTAAACGGTCGCTAAGAATGTGCTTTTTTGTAGGTTCGTTCCCAATTGCTAATAGGATAAGAAAGCTCCTTTGGGATCCATTGCTGAGCAATTTTAGGTGAGTATTCAACACCCCTTATGACTTCTCCGCACTTGAAATAAAATTATGCTTTCCAGCAATACCACTACATAAACTACATTGCAGCTCTTATTTAATTAACATGAAGCAATGACGCCTTGTCAAAGGCCAACATTCAACAAACACATACATTTGTAATAAGACCTTGCGAAAAAAATTCTATAAATTCATTATTTTTCTGATATTGAAGCTCTTTGTTCATTTGCCAGGTCAAAACATAAACCGATTTAATTGAAGTTTAATTGTTAGGAATGTAAGTCGATTTGACGTAAGCGCGAGACGCGAATAAAAGTGTGAGCATTTTATCATAATTGACTCCTTTTGCATAATTTTCATCTACTGGACAAAATTTTATCTGGTTTTGCTTTGCTTAGGAATGATAAGTCGAATAATTTGGATAACTCATTACATAACAATGGTGGCTTCCAAAACGTCTATTACATGGAAATGAAGCCACATTTAGTTTAGTTGTTATCATCTTACTGCCATTGCGGATCTCATATATAAACGCCGTCAATATGGCGGAAAAACGAAATAACTACAAAAACTCGAACGTGGCATCACTATTCATAAGCTTCAGCAAATGCCAACCTCAAATTTTGAAATTTTGCAAATGCGGCTTGTGATATGCATTATTTTCCATTAAGCAATGCTTCCTAAAAATTTCCTCGATACATACCTCTTTTAACACGCTTCTCTAGTGCGTAGGCACGCTAACTGGTTTATTTGGAATTGTGCGCAAATTGAATCAATTTTCCAACACCTCCAAACGTACACAAGGAAGCTGTTGTAAAATGTCCCCACTTTGTCTTATTTTCTTTATTCGAGAACTCAAAACAAGACTCAATAATAGTTTATAAGTAACGAATAAAAAGCCTTTTTTTGCTTTTGGGGGCAGACGTTTTTCAATACAAACTTAGGTGCAAGAATTTCCAATGTGTATGCTAAACTTTAAACCATTAATTTCATCTCTGACAGTAGACAGACGGACGGACGAGAAAGTTTAAATTGATTAAGAATTTGGCTTTGATCAAAAATGTATATGCGTTTTAGGCCCCGTGAAACTTCTCTCTGGATATTGCAAACGTCTTGAGCAAATGTCTATGTATCTAATGACAAAAACGATCAAAATTATTTTTAAAGTGTTTAAACCGGGTACTTGTATTAATATTTAAGGAATTGTCTGATGGTGGCATCAAAGTTCTTTTTGTTGTAGTCTATTTGGCAGGTGGGGATCTGGTCTTCTTTCAAACCAAGCACCTTGACATATTTTTAAACTATTCTAAAATATTGTTGTGGGTGACTTTATTACTATTATTATTATTATTATTTTAATTTTAGACTAATGAATTGAATTCTTAGACTAAAAAAAAGACATTGAGCACTAGCAACACAGGCTATCGGCTCTAATTTAAATAAATGGATATTAGATAATAAGCTTAGTAGTATTAATAAAGTAAAATATTGAATTGATATTCTGTTCTGAAGCTGATTGTAGAATGTTCAAAGGGTTAATCGTTCCAAATGCAATACTTCTAGCCAAGGAAAAGGTGAGGCAGTCGCAGAGAATGTGCTTTATAGTAAGAGTTTGTCCACAACAGCAGATTGGGGGAGAAGACTTCTTCAGGATCCATTGGTGAGTTGCAATTGTATGACCAAGGCGAATTCTCGAAAATGTTTGGATCTTGGTTTTCGCAACATTTGTTGGATATAGAGGTGGAGATAATTGAGGGTTAATGCAAGAGTAGTGTTGATGATGGTATTGTAAATTTACTTCTGCAATTTTCTCTTTAACTTTTCTTACAATGTATCTTTGAAGATCGAACTTTTCCATGACATCATCCATAATTAGAGGAGCAGAAGCAGCATACTTTGCCGCTCGATCAGCTTGCTCATTTCCCAGTAAACCGATGTGACTTGGTACCCATAACATTTTAATTTTTCCGTCGGGTGTAGTAATTATATTCCTTAATTTGTTGATGGTGCTCCATCTCGAAGTCGAAGGGTTCCGGGTAGCTTGTAATACAGACAAACTGTCAGTAACAATGACGGTTTTGAGTTCGTTTCTATGGGCAAGGTTTGTAGCGCGAAGGATAGCTCTGGCTTCGGTTATGAAAGTTGAAGTGCTTTCGTGAAATATGTGGTTGAGAAGAACCCGTCCTGTAGCATCTACCACCGCACAAGCAGGAGGCAGACCAGGAGATTTTGAGCCGTCTGTGTACAAAAGATTCCAACCAGTATTGTCCAATACTTGGGTTTTCTCAGCTATTAAATTCCTGAAGACGTAATTTGGAGTATCTTCTTTCTTGTGCATAGACAGTGAGATGTCAAAAGAGCAGTCTTTCAAAATCCAGGGAGGTTTAACACCAAAAAAGCGGGAAATTTTTAAGGGAATGTTCAATTCCTTTGCGATGCACAAACAATGGTCAATTGCAGATGGCGACTTTGGAATTTTCTTCGCAATAATAATCTTTCTTACGTCATCACCGAGAATGGATTTGTTTGAATTAAGAAGCTTAGGGACTATTTTAGCTTTTAACTCATACAGTCTATTTTCTAAAGTGGGGAGACCAGTTTCAATTACAATATTATTTATGGGCGTCGTCCGAAAAGCAAAACAACTTGCTCTGACGGCTTGGTGATAGACCGGTTTAAGGATGTTGATATTAGATTTGCAGTTATTGCCATCAATTATCAAAGCATAGTCAATCTTGCTTAACACAAGCATTTTGGTAAGATAAGCGATAGTGTTAATATGCGCATGGCTTTTCCAAGCAACGTACTGTATGAAATTTACCCTTGTTAAAAGGGAGTTTTTTAACCGAAGGCAGTGTGCTTTCCAACGATAATTGGGTGACTTTAATTGTAACTTCTTTAACGTATTTAACCCTACGTCCTTGAGTACCAGGTTATAGTTTTAGGATACTTTTAGAATGGTCACTTGTGAACTCCTTAGTTATTATTTCAACGAAATCTAACGCTATGTTCTTTGGTAGTATCGAACATCATCCTCCCGAAACGAATTTTTTTATTGGTGTGAATAGAAAATTGGTGTTGGCCAACCTGGGCATATATATCGATCATCGTCCCAACTTTAAGAAGCGTATAGATAGGAAAATGGTGGGAAATCGGCGAGGAATTTATTCCAACAATATTTACCTACCTCAATTGATTAAATATAAAATGACCTATTCTCTGTGAATGCCACATATTCTATAGAGCTTAGAAGCAGTGAGCGGTACTGTGGCGCATAGCTTCGCTAGACTAAATTATGCTACCAATAACATTGCTTGCTATGTATATAGTCTGCCTGCAGTTCGCGTCAAGTCGCAATTTATTTCTCTGGCTTATTTGTCTGTAGCTAACTTTAATGTTATTTTTTAATGCTATTCCTGCAACTACCCAGGAACATTTCCTTATATTTTCTTTTACATATTTTTTCTTGAAACTTCTATGCGACTGGGGAGCCGTAACTTTCCTTTCACAATTATGTATAAGTTACAATTTGCAAATTGTAGTACGGTAACATACGCTTTTTTCTTTTTTTAACTTCTGTGATTATAGTGTTTCCTATTGTACTGTTGCAAACTCTATTTACATTCTGCATTGCCTGTCTTACACTCAGAAATTTGCTTATAATAAAAACGTTGGCCCAACGAAGGGCTTCGTATATTATATTATATTAATATGAATGAAAAATAAGTACAACTCAATCCTTGGATGGTGCGTATAAAAATTATTTATAACTCACCTCTCTCTGCCGCATGTGATTGTTTGATCAATCGTTTCCAAAGTGTATATAGTTTGATCATATTTAAGTTTTTTTAACAAAGTTAGCGCAAAATTATGTCTAGGGGTGCGGAAAACTGTCTTTACTCTCAATTTGATAGATATTTTTCGTATAAAAAAGTCTTCAAAATTGTTGCAAGCGATGGATATCAAAATTTGGAGCAAAACCACACGTACTTTCCCATTTCTTCTTTTGTTATATCTGATAGGCGAATAGTTTTTACTATAAAAGTAATACGCCTTTATTTTTCGGGTCAACTAGTGCAGTCCCCACTAAAGGAAGGACTCAATACGAAAATTTTTAGGTCAATGTAATTTATCTTTTTATATGATAGATTTTGACAAAATACCAACAGAAAATGTGGTTTCCTTTTGCAAGGTTTCAAAGCACGTAAAAAGTGACAGAAAAGTGGCGAGCAACTTCATTCTGATGTTTCAAATAATCGCATATAGAATTCATTTATGGAAGAAACTGAATGCCAAGAGCACTTGCTTAAATGTTACATTTCACTATGAAAGAGTTGCGCTTAAAAACAAGAGAACGTACAGGAATTGATTAAAAGGCAAGGAGGGTAATTACGTATAAAAAACTTAACCTTTAGCCTTTCTCGCTTTTCGGATGACTTTGGGTTAGGTATGATACTGTCATCATTATTTTTCATTAACTCCCGTTTTTTTTTTTTATTATATATGCACAACAAATTATCTTTTAAAGTATGTTTTTGAAGTAATTCAACTTCGAATGCATGCAAATGCAAAATTTGGCAACGATTTTGTTTTAAATTTTTATTTTTAGAGCCGAGATAACATGAGCTATGTTCAACACTAATTTCAATTGGTGCCGGTGGATTCTATTTGATACTTTCTATAACAGCTGCGATGCTCTCACATTACCTTCCGGAGCTTCTTTCTTCGCCTTATATGTTGGTTTTTTGAAAGTGATTGTTATTTCATTTTACTACCTCTAATTTTTATATAATTTTATGGTTATTTATTTCTGTATGATATTGCCGCTGTTTACATAATGTTGTTTACAAACAAACAAAGGTCAAGCTTGCCGTGCTATTTTCCCTTTATTTATTGAAAATTATAATAAGTGACGGTAGTAATACATGATGCACAGAAAATGTATTATCTCATTTTCGTCGTCGAAGCGAATGTGAGTTAATAAAAGATACATCAGTGCCAATAATTACAAAATTTCGCTTTACTGTACTCACGTACAACTGGTTTTGTTAGTTTTAAAGTTAACGTCAAACATAAATGGTGCTTATTGGTTGAAGCGGTTGAAATGAACAGTTAGATTAAAAGCAAACTTATCTCTATCGGTCTGTGTTAGTGCATAGTTAAAAGTGTTAGTAATAAATAAATTTGTGTATGAGTACTGTAGATGAACATTAGCTATATGTGTATTTGCTACGTAATCGAATGTTAGCAAATAACATATATTGTACGTAAAGTTTTTGAAAGTAAATCTATGGTATTGTAATGTATGCGTGAGCTTACAACGCGTGCATTTGTTAAAGAAAAATATAATTACTGGGTTACCATAAGTCTTAATATTTAGTGTGACTTCAGATAAAATTTTGATATTTTCCATGTTGTATATTAGACGTAAAAACGGTCACGCGTATATAAATATATACGGCCGAAAATATGAACTTCGGTTGTTAAACATTTCAAACCAGAAGCAACAAGATATCTTCTGATCTGTTCGTCAGAGTTTGTGTTTTATGTATACATTTATGGTATGGTGCGTGATCTGTTGCATTTATATGTGCGATTTTGTTAGCACCCAAGATTTTTGTTGTGCTTAAAAGGAGAGAAAAATAAAAACTGAACAAGAAAGTTATAACTATTTCAAGGCGAATCTTAGACACCTATCACTCCGAGGAAACATGAAAAAATTATGTTTTTCATTTAGCCATTCTGGGCATGTCTTCCATAAACTTTAAGTATAAATAAAATTCTACAAATTTCATGCCAAGTTGCATATCGCACAACGTCTACTACAATTCGTAAGTGGTAAACTTATTCTTATTATTTTCTTCATGCTTATTTTGTAACATTAACTCGTTTGTTGTATAAATAAACTAAGTCAGTATGTGCTAAGTTTCAAAACGCTCGGCTTTTCAAGTATGGGCAAACAGACAAGTGAATAAATTGTAAAAGCGAGCACGACATTATGTGCATACGCTAGCTAAACAGGAACGGGAATAGGAACATTTTTTTTAAAATCTATTTTCAGGGCGTTGCCAATGTTCGAAATTCAATAGTAGACAACGTTTCTGAATAGAGAGCCTAACATTGACAATGTTCCTCGAACGAACTGCTGTAATTCTAAACTATACTAAAGATGATCAAGTTTACTTTGCGTTTGCGGAGTCGCAAAAATTGCTATATTTTAAGTATTAATTAATTAGAGTGTAAATCAATACCGGCCATTACCACAATGTTGTCTTGAAAGTAGACATTTATCAATGCGTTGTATTGGTATTTATTTCTTTGCCTCTTCAATCATTTTTATTAAATGTTTTTTTGGTTTATTTGCCAGAAATAATCACACGCTTGATATTTGTAAATGTGTGTCGGTGTGTACGTATTTATTTATTCATTGTTTTCTATCCCTCAAAAGCAAGAGTGACTCATGCAGAATTTTTGAGTAAGAATCGGCCACTATAACCTTAACTAAATTAAGAGTGAAGAAGGAAGGCAAAATGTCTATTTCTTGCTCTAGGCGAGTCTTCCAATTATGTTTACAAAATGGCCGTTCACAACTTCCATAATCCCTTCTTTGGGCTAATATTTTAAATACGAAAATAGCATGAAGTGCATGAAGATTTATAGAATTATCCTTTCATTGTGCCATAAATCCAATTTGTTTAATGCACTTGTAAATCAGAAGTTTGCTGTCTGGCAAAATAGTAAATCACTTAGATAGCCTCCGTTGTGTTACGAGCTTATTATAACCAATTCAATGTCAACCATGTGCAAAGGCATTTTTGGCAAGCACTTGAAAACATGGCATGGCTTAGAAAAACTCAATTTTTTATACTCATCAAAGGATGGGGGAATTCATTTATCAAAAAGTTTGTAACGTTCCTGATCAACATCATCATAAATCGGTTTAAACATGTGCACGTCATCTGTCCTTCTGTGTAATGTGTATGATGAACACGCTGATCGCAAAAATGAAATTGTCAGCCGCACAGCCGGCAGAAATATTCCGAGTTCTTGGATGCATTTTAGGTTCTTAGTGTTGAAAGTGGGCTAATTGTGCTTGTACAAAAAGGCAGAGAATTGGCTACGCCTATCTAACATTATAGGTAAACAAAATTGCACGTTTTTCCAACTTTTTTAAGATAAATTTGGCCTCAACAGAATATTATTTTTTTATTGGTTTTGTGTTAGGTTAATACAATATGCATGAAATCTTGGTGTGAACCGAACTAGTCAAAATAACCTAAAACTTACGTGTTCTCCAACGTAAGGTTTGTTCTGTAGTAATGCTTAGTTGAAAAATGTCTGTTATTCTAAATTATATATCCCATAGCTAACAATCTATTTTCCATTTTGTTATCATTGGTCAAGTTAGTTAAGTTGAAAGTTGAGCAACGGTTTCTTATGGAGTAACAAAGCATAAATTATCGATTTCCTTTGCACTTGTTCTATTTATTTCGCGATAGCATCTCGTGAGTTACAGAAACACGACTACTCGACTATTTTAAATTTGTAGAAACTCTTAAGATAGGTGCAACTTAAATATCCCTTTGATAGAGCATTTGACACGTTTTTTCTTCAAATTCAAGATCACAAACGTACTCTTTGGTTTTATATTTCATCACCAAGTGTTACGTTAATAATTAAACTGAATAAACTGTTTACAACAAGAAGCTCTTGCTGTAATTATTAGAGAAATATTAAATATATAAAATTTTTTTTAAAATGCATTGTAGTCTAAGCCAAATAAATAATTAAATTTTAAGTCGAGAAGAAAGAGAACAGGTAAATTAATGCAATAACTTATTATTTTTGAGTGAAGAAAAGCAGCCTTGAAGGACGAAGTTTTTTATTTAAATACCATTAATATTGTTATGAAATTCGCTTTTCTAAGATACAGCCCGTATCACTAAATCGTGGATATTCTGTGCAAGAGAAATACACTTCGAAGTTCTTTTATTTACAATTATATTCCTTAAGTATATGATTATTCACAATTTATTTTTGGCAATACTTTCGACTGCTCAACTCAAATATTCTTTTTCTACTAACCCTCTTTTCCACAAATATTCTATTTATATACATTACAGCTGCATGACGCGCCGCGAATGTGCATTTGGCTTTTCCCTCTTTTTGGAATTCATTATTTGCTTAGCTGGAATGAACTGGATTTGGGATTTCCGTAACAACATTTACGCTCAGATTTTATATATCAATAGGCAAAAGGAATCGCACCTTTAATCTATGTCTTTTTGAATTCAATAATTTCCACTATAGCCAAAAATTTAAGAGAAACAGTTTTTGTTCGCAATTATTTTGCTATTTATTTTTTATTTATGTGTATGTTTATATGTATAGCAAAATCCATCTACAACATAGGTTCATCCAAATTAAGCAACAGTTAAAATAAACGATTTAAGCTATGACATTATAAAGAAGGAGATATGTCAACATCCGCAGCAACAGCAAAGTTGAAAAGAAAACAGTTTACAATACTTTTAGGCTTAAAGCAAAAGGAATGTATTTCAGAAATGTAATCAATCATACGAAAGGTCCAACTCTTTTTTAATAGCGAAGAATATAAAATGACTGTTTAGAGATGCGACTTGTGTTTAATGTTTTTTGGTCTTTTTTCACAAAACTACAAACGTATGTTTTACTAACGTGAAATAGTAAAATGCATTCGTTTGATATGGTGTTCTATTGGTAAAATATTCGCATTTGCCCTATTTAAAGTTCATTGCTTTTTCTGAATGAAATGTAACGTTTTGACCCTGTGGATTACATGTACAGGGCTCTAAAACCGTATCGCATGTGCTATAAACATAATCACGCACGTATAAATCCTTGTTCTACGTACATCGTTGCAATGTTCAGTTATATCTATTGTTACCGGTTTGAAATGTTAAGATGATATATACGAGATGACAAAGAATTTATTCAAACTTAAAAAAAAAAACTCAAATTTCTCAATAAGTTTAAAAACAAAAATTTATTTTAGTAAGTATTTAGCAGTTAAATAAGTTACAATCCGAAATACAATTTTTTAAATTTTGCAAAGTCTCATCAGGGACTAAGGAAATAAAATGAAAGACGCTAATAGAAAAAAAAGAAGTAAGCCAAATCTATTACACCCACTACCTTTATATTAAAATAGAATAGCGTAGGTGTGCCCTTTGACCAATTTAGGTCATCTTCAATACCAATTTGCGTGCGGAATACACATGTTAAACTTATAACCGATACCTTCATTGGACCTTCATCCCATCAGAAGAATATCTACCATAGATATTACATACATAGGCATGAACACAGCAGACGAACAGAGAGGCTAACATGCTTACATTGTCCCAGAATTTGATGTTGATTAAGAGCAATATATTTTTTGGAGCTTGCTTCTGGGTTTTGCGAACGTTTTGACAAAGTGAATATACCGCCATCCTTCAGTGGCGGATATGAAAAAAAAGTGCTTGCGCACATTCTCTCCCCCTGATTCGTCGTTCGAATATTATGATCCTTGCGCATTTATGAAACCTCATAAAATTAAACGCATTTATGAAGTTTCATAAATCCGTAAGCAACTGCTTGCTCCCACACCAAAAGTACATGGAATATCTATAATGTAAGCAGGCATAAATCCTGTTATCTACTTGTAAGCCAAGCTACCAAGGTGGATATTTTCTCGAAGCGATCTCTGCACAAATTGTTAGAATCCGATCACTTTGCTTACTACCGTAATATCCTGGTAACAAACCGGCTTGGTTTTCTCTGGCGGTCTTAAACCCTTATCTGAAACCGGAATAAAAATCTAAATAAATTCATACTAGGAATAGAGTGGGAAAAATATGGCTTCCCACAGCTTCGATACTTTTGTTTATATACATCACACAATTCTTACTTCGCTAGTGCCCTACGTTTTTCTATATGAACGATAACACCAAAAAGGACTTTCTAAGCTTAGTAAGCAGCTTTTGTAGATAAAAAACTTGCAAATCCAAAGGACGCGTAGTTAGACTAATACAACTTTGTTATCTATGACATGGTCCATAATATAAATAATCCTTATTATTAATAGGACCAAGGCGTAAGTTAATATGGTTAGCAGTATTTATGAAATTAATGCTTCCAGCATTTATCTAACGAGCTGTTATAATTTTTTCGCGCTTGTTAAATATATACAAATACAGTTGAACACTTCTACAAAGCTATGTAAAGTTATAAGTAGTTCCATGTCTTTGCTTTGCATATACAGAATCTGTTTTATCAACCTCGTTTATGATATAGTGTAAAAATTGTTTCTTTCGAAATATTAATTAATTTACATAATGACATGTTTTGTTTATAATATTTTGTAAAAAAATTGTCGAAAGTTCTATTTTAACTATTTGACTTAAATCACTTCGAGATTTCGCTTAACATAATTTAACGGCTTAGCAAAACTCTGAATTTTGGTTTGTGTCTTTGTTAGTTATATTTAAATAAAACTTCACACCTCTCATGCTATAAGTCTGATGAAAACGCTGTTCGCTGTTCTTATATTAGCAACGCGAACAGTGTCATCGAAACCATGACGTAAACGCTGTAAGTTTGGAGGTAAATTATCATGAAGAATTACAACTAAGTGACCGTCAGCAAAATTTCTATTTCTATTTCTATATTTTCCACTTATAACGCTTACAGACTCCCTGTAAATATTCTTCCTTCCATCCTGGCGAAGAGCCTTAAGTTTTTGCCATCGGTTTGCATAACTTAAAGTAAACTCCGCCGTATTGAGTTCGGGTGGCAATAGAATTGCGTA